TACAACACTGGTAATTCCTAAGCTGGTGTCTGCAGCAAGTTCTCAAAGCACTACCAAAACCATTTTATCGGCTCCTAACCTGAAAGAACTTGATACCTACTCCACGCATGTTTTTGGCCTTTCACCATGGACCTCAAGCCAACTTAATCTCAATTTTACACCCCCCAACAGGATCCACCAAGGTATTTACCCCAAATTCATCACATCTCAAATATTCCCAATGAATCAATTTGAAAACCAATTTCTCAATACCAAAGTGAGAATTAAATCATGAGGTTATGCAATGTTCAATGCCATGCATGAATTTGTAAATATTACAATTTACCTAATTCGCATGTGAGTTCTACAACAATCAACACAACTCTCCACCGGTTGCCAAAACAATTATCTCTATTCAATAAATATTTCAAACTGGACACTATATAATATGAGTATAATCAACAATCCTCAACAACATCAACATAGTAGGCATTCCTCATTCTTTCTCAAGAATTCAATACTTTCATATAACAATTTCCAAAAGGAATTCTAACATTCCCAACAACAATTTTATCAACTTCATCTCTTTTGAGCATATACTTCCATGGACTCATTTGTTCAACAAACACATGTTTTTCAACACTAGTTCCTCATAACTTAGCCAAAATCTCAATTTCAACATTTTAAACTTCTGGGGTTTTATCAAAATTTGGGGATTTCTCAATTTAAAGATATTTTTCATAAAACCATGCTCAACTAACAAGAACCTTCACAAAAATTTGAGAATCTTCCCCTTTTGTACATTAAACATATCTTGAATAAAAACCCTAATCTTTCCATGTGTTATATTATCAAAATAACACATAATAAAGTTAAAACAAATACACTAAGCTTAGAAAATCCCTACCTCAAGTTCTAGAAGTAAAGAGAGTGAAAAAAATCCCAAATTTCCATGAAGCCGACACTTGATCTCCACCGCACAAAATGCTCCTCTCGAAATGCTCTCCAAAAATGCCTCATGAACAAGGGTCAAGAAATTTATGGATTTTGGTGGATGGAGAGATTGATGAGGGCAGGTGAGGGATTTCTAGAGAGACATGAGAGAAGAGAAAAAAGTGAAGTGTAGAGACAAAGAGGGAAATGAAAAAGTGAATAAGAACAAGTATTCCCTCAGATTTTAAGTGAATGGGCACAATTCCCAAATCTGAATTTGAACACCACACTCGAGCGGTGAAACCTGCGCTCGAGCGGTGAATGAAGGCTTACAAAATCTCTCTCCTCTGCAGAACAGACCACTCGAGCGGTGAAACCACTCCCAGTGTCTCAAACTTCAAGACACAGAACTGGATGGATGCAATGACCGCTCAAGCGACAAAAGAACCGCTCGAGTAGACTCAAGTTTAAACTCAAGCAAAACCAAACTTAGAGTATTCCCACCCTTCCCCGATTCACTCTAACACCCAAAGACTCAAATCTCATCTCGGAAATACAATTTAGAACATGAGGTAAGGTTGGGAATGAAAAGTAAATGGTGGTACACGATTCTCAGAGTTCCAAAAACAAACAACAATTCAAAAACAGGACGATTAATCAAAAATAAACGTAATTAAATTGGTTTAAAAACCCGGGACATCACATTTGTCATAACCCACAATTTGGCTAGTGAAACCACCATGTTTGGCCCAGTATTGTAAAAGGCGCACCTAGGCTCAAGGCATAGCTTGTGCGACTTGTACAAGCCCAGTTGAAGCGCATTCAAAGAGGGGCAGTGAGGCGCGTGCCTTAAGCGCATAAGGCGCAAGGTGCAAAAAAAGCGAGCCTTACGCACCGTCAATTTTACTCTCTTTTTTTGGGTTTATTATTGATTTATGATGTAATTATATGTGCCATCACACTGGATTAAAACTCTCAAAAAATATATTTATATATACATATCAATACATCAAATATCAAAGAACCCAAACAAAGAAAAGTCCTATAGTGGTGAAGACAGCAGTAGCTCCTCCTCCATATTCCGCCAACTTCTTCATCTCCAGCTTTGGACAGCTTCTTCTCCAGATTTCGGGTATGTTTTCTTCTACTTCTTTTCTTGTTCTCCTCTTCTTTCTTTTTCTTCCCCCTCTCTTGTTTTTCTTCTCCAGTGGTTGGGTTTGATTTCCACCCCCCTGTTTCTTCATTTCTTCTTCTCCAAGTGCTTTTATTTATTTTTTTCTCTGCTTTTTCTTCTCCAGTTGCTGATTTTGATTTCCACCCCCACTGTTTCTTCGTTTCTTCTTCTTCTTCTCTAAGTGCTTTTATTTTATTTATTTTTCTTCTTTCTTTCTTTCTTTTTTTCTTCTCTTCTGCTCTGTTTTTTTTTTTCTTTTTTTTTTCCCTTCCCCTTCCAGATTTCAGTTTGCTTCTCTTCTCCTTCATCTTCTCTGGATTTGTGCTATGTTGTGGTGATTTTCTGCTTCTACTGCTGTATTTCAAAGATGTTCCAAATTATCTTCAACCCCTTGCTGCACTGTCAAGATAAAGTTCTCTGCTTTTTTGTTTGTCCAACTTTCTTTTAGTGGTTATAAGTTGTGAATTCTTTATTTTGATTATGTTGATGTCCAAATTATTAGTTTATGTTAATTTATCTACTTTTTTTATTGAAAGGTGCGGCCTGCTTCAACGAAGCGTGTGCCTCGCCCTAAGCCCCAAGAGACCTTCGGCGCCTTGGTGCAACTTAAACCTGTAAACACTGGTTTGGCCAACCAAAATGTGATCCAAAGAGGATTCTCTATATCCACAGGTTGGGCCAACCGAAACAAGGAATGCGGCCAACCAATTGGATTTCAAAAAGCATGCCCAACTAGCCAGGCTGACCAACAATAAAAGTTTGGTGGTTGTTAAAAGCTAGCTATTGGGTAGAAAACCTATATATGTCCAAATGCCTCCTTTTGGTATTCCGTGATGAGAAACAGATCTTTTGAGTGAACTAGCATTTCTACAGAATATTCACCCAAAGAAGGCATTTTTATTGAATCTAAATCGCATCTCAAAGAGGTTCACCACCTGGTGTGAGTGAGCGTTAGCTTGGGAGGCCTTTACACAACTGGTGTAGAGCTTAGTCCTTGGAGACTTTTGAGTTCTCATATTGTGAAAGGTATATTTCTCATCTAGTGTATCCTTTATACACTTTCAGCATCACATGACAACACTTTGGTCTCATATAGAGACACCCTTCGAGCTTTCAATGAGTTCACAAGTTTAAGTGTTAGGATTGTTTTTTGTGGTGATTGTGATTTTCGGTAAGCCTAAACCCAATTCATTTATAGGGTCCTACTAATGACAACCCCAATAGTTGTCTTTAAGAAACACAAAACGTCAAAATATTTGTATTCTCAGTACACTTTTCACATATCCCAAAACACTTCCATATTTTTATACATTTTTTTTTTACACATCTCAATATATTTTTTTACACATTTTCCAACACTAACAACAGCCCTAAGGGCTTAGGGCTGTTTTTAGCACTTTCCTTAATTAAAATGCATGTGGAAGGGGTTGATAGTGGATCCTAGTGAAAACCCTAGTGAAGTGATCATAAAGGTTTTGGGTGATTCTAGTGAAAACCCATTTGGAATAGTGATGTGCCAAACCCACTATAAATTGCTTGAGTTAATCTTGTATCATTATTGCATTCAATTCTTGTAATATATGAGATGATTGCATGAATGAAGTTTTATTGATATCATCTACCTCAAAGGTTTGATTGACCAAATTAATATTTAAATAACTAACCTATAATTGAATAACTTGCAAACTAGCACGTCATAAGTGTTCAAATTTGGTTCACAATCATACACATTTCAATACTTGAATTTGATATAGGCCTTCTTGGATCAATAATTTGCACAGCTTGAACTGATGAGAAGAAAAATTGACATTGGATTTGAATTAATCAAAAGAAAGAATCTGCAAGGAATTGACTTGAAAAATTAGAAGTATCCTATTCAAACCCCAGGACATTTCAATGAGGCGTGTTTGGCAACTCCATCTCTACATGCATGCCAGATAAACTAAGAGTTAACCATGAACCCTTAGAAGTAGGTATTTCACCTCTGCCCATTTCTGAGCCTAGTTTGTAGATTTTTCTAAATTGACAAAAATAAAATAAAATAAAAATAAAAAGAAGCACAAGCAGGTGCCAGGGTAAAAGCAAGAGAGCAGGGTAGGCCTGCGACAGCTGGTAAGAAAGCTTGCTGGAAAGTATTACCCCTCTTTTTCTTTTTTCAATAATCATGTTGGAAAGTATTCCATTTTAAGCAATGCATCAACAGATAGAAAATCATTTACACTGAATTGCAAATAAGTGTGAGCATAAATGGGCAATCGTAACTTAAAATAAGGGAAAATTACAAGAAAAATCTCCAAAATTTGACCCCTATAAAAAAATAAACTTTGCGCTTTAAATTGTCTATTTAAATCCTAATCTTTTGATTTGTTTTCAATCCAAACTATTAGCCTATTTCTGTTAAGTAAAATCAACTAAAAAATGATATTTTAATCATGTCTAAATATCTTTTTTTTGTTGAGTTTAATGACTTTCCAATTAGTTTTACTCAACGGAAAAAGACAAATGGTTTAGATTGAAAACAAATAAAAGTTTAAAGTTTGAATTGACAAAATAAAAAGCTCAAGGTTTATTTTGTTACAAGGGTCAAATCCTAAGATTTTTTTTTTTGTGGTAATTTTTCCTAAAAGTAATGAAAAAAGTTGATTTGAAGGAAAAGAACCTGGTTGATATAACAATGACAAAGATAAAGCATAAAGTGACTGTCACAAGCATGGACTAGCAAATGTTTGATTTTCCATTTTGTTGCTATTTGCTCTAAAAAATAAAAACAGGACCAACTCTATTTGAATGGGATAATGATTAATCAGTACAGTGCAACACCATCTTATTTGAATTTCTACAAACCACAATTCTAGATAGCAAAATGTGATATATATATATAGATAGAGAGAGAGAGAGAGAGAGAGAGAGAGACCGTGATGGGCGTAGATATACGCAGACCTCCAGGAGTAGATGTGATCGCCTGGTTTGAGGCTGTCCTTGCGCACTCTGTTTCATTTGCATACATATTTTAATCAATCAAATCTTGTAGAGATCGAAAAATTTTAGAATACATTTCAAGAAGAAAGTAAATAATTTTGGTTCCTCAATCAAAACACCATACCTACCTGTTTGACAGTAGCCCCATGTCTCTCTCTCTCTCTCTCTCTCTCTCTCTCTCTCTCTGGGTTCTTCTTTCCTCGGACGATTCCTGTTGTTGAGAAAAGAAAGTCTGTAACGAGAAGCAAGTCGCAAAACCACTCTATAACGAGATTACGAATATGCCCCCTCTCCTCCTTGAGGAATAATAGAGAGATTACCACGCGGCGTCTTGCAGCGTTGCACGTGTCCCCGTGATGGATATGTTTCGAATCTAATACCCAAATCGCCTGCCAGTGCTAAAGCTGTTTCTTTCAATTAACTTAAAACGGAAACGTAAAAAATAAAGGTCGATTACATAGGAGAAAAAATATTAATAGAGGAGAGGTGCAAGTGTATTTAGAATGTCACCCAAAAAAAAAAAAAATTGTGATCAATGTTGATAATTTTCTTTTGTTTCTATGTAATTCTCTTAAAATAAATGCCCAAATTATACAAATATTGAAAGAAGAAGAAGTAATTGCAAAATATCGTGGATCTAAACTAATTTAACTAGACATGGAAAAACAAAATTACAAAACTATGTGGTAATTTACATAATTGCCCTCATATTTTGTCCTAATCCCTTTTTTTTCTTTCTCTTCCCTTCTTACTCTCTCTCACATGAATGGGTGATCATTCCTCTCCCATTCTCTTACGTCACCGATCACTCATTATTCATTCTTTCCAATTGGCACCAACCTCACCTCTCGTCAGTCTATACCTTTCCCAACTCCTCTCATAACCTCCTTCTCCACTCTTAGTCATATTTTCTTCTCGCGCGGACAATCCATTTGCAAATCCTAACCGCTACCCCATTTTCTACCCCTCACCACCATTTTCGACCCTCTTCAACCTTTCATTTTCCACCCTCAACCCCCTTTGACATTATAACGATTCTGGTTTAGACCCAACCCATTTATTATTTTGAATCTAGGATTCCTTGTATTGAATGGTTGTCCAAGTCCTTATTCATCTTATTTCTTGTTGAGTTAGGTGTTTGGAAGTTATGGTTATGTTTGAAACAAGTTGGGAGTTAGTTTTTTTCAAAAGAGTTGTTGCCCAGATTTTTACTTATTCGCTCGAGCAGTCTTTCTTGTGCTCGTGTGGTCTTTGAGATCTCCTAGTATTTTTGCAGGTCTGCAAAACTTTTGGGAGCAGGGTGTTCTTTGCTCGAGCGATATGTCTCAGTCTGCAAAACTTTTGGAAGGGTGTCGTTGTGCGCTCGAACGGTCTACGCGTATATCAGTTCTAAAAATTGACTTTTTAGATCACTTTTTCATCTCTCTCTCCCTCTAAACATTTCAAAACCTTAAATCATCACCATCGCTCGAACGGTCTACGCGTATATCAGTCCTTTTGAAAAGTGCTTTTCCGGGTGTTTCTGGAGCTGCTGGTTAAATTCTTTTGTTCATATAATGTGATTTGTTAGATTCAACAATAATTTGGCTGAATCAATTCATTGTTGTAATAATTCCTCTAACTCCACGTCTTTTCTTTCTTTTATTATTTCATTCAATTGTTGTAATAATTTCTTCCCCCCTCTTTTCTTCTTTCTTTTTCAATTCATTGTTGTAATATTTCCTCCAACCCCATGTCTTTCTATCCCTTTTTATTTCTATGCTTTCCATATCTGTTAATAAGCATTTTTCATTTGTTTATCATATCCATGACTTGCATCCATTTTTCATGCATTAAGATTAGGCTAATTTGCATTTGTGGGTTTTTTTATCAATTCTTATGTGCCTTTGTGAGCTAACTCATGCCTTGAGATGATTCATGTATTAAATGCTAGTAGCCAGGTTTTTAGTTGCATTTTGTGTATATATTGCATTAAGCATTTGCATATAGGATCATGCATATGTATATAGCATGTTATTTTTGGCTTGCCCCGGAGGAGTACTAGGTGAGCATTTACAGTTTTAGCATCTCGGTTGTATATGTTATTTTATTATGTATAACATCTTACCATGCAACTAAGTACTTAAATGATATATCTCTATGGTTGCCAGTGGATGGAGGTTGCGTCGTTTAAATTGGAATAATGTTGATTCTTATACCTATGGGTACACAAAACAGTGCTATATGGGTATGTAGGTGCACAAAACAATGCTATGGAAGTGCACAAAATAGTGTTCTGTGGAACGAATGCACAAAGTTGCACAAGACAGTATGATATAGGGTGCACAAGACAGTGCGATACAGGATGCACAAAACAATGCGATGCAAGTTGAATGCACAAAACAGTGCTATAGGGGGGTGCACAAAACAGTGTGATGCTGGATAAATGTACAAAACAGTGCGATGCATGTACACAAGACAGTTCAATATAGGGGAAAGATGTATGTTATGCAAAGGGAAATGAGCAGTACATAGTAGTGCATCATGTACCTTATGAAATGAGTGTAAGGCAACTTGCCACAATTTATTGAAATGTAACTGAAAAACACTGCGAAAGATAACTCAACGAAACTCTGTTTAAGTACAAAACAAAGTCAAGAGCAAGAGAAACCAATCACGCAGTTCAAAACAACTAGAGTGTATGAGCATGCATGCATAATCCAAAGCACATGTATTAATCAGAGGGAATATGGCAATCCCAAGAGAGTTTTGAAAATAGCCGGAGACAACTTTCGAAAGCTGGATCATATCAAAATCATCATGGGGATGAGCTACCCTAACTTAGGGAAAAGTGCCCAACAAATGGTTTTGAGTGGACTGAGAGAAAGGTTGGGTTTATGCCCCTTGTTCAATTGATGACCCAATCAGATGTACTGAAAATTGCCCCTAGTGTTCACTGGCCACGGTTCATGCCCCTTGTTCGATGGATGGCCCAATCAATGGCCCCTAGTGTCCAGTCACTGGCCACCTTTTCAACATTATATAGGCACGTGTGATGGGGATCATCAGATCTTGGAACGGCTGCCAACCAATCAGACTCATGCTACTCTTCTGCCTCAGTATTACTTCAATCTTCTCCAAAGTAGTGACGAATTCCTCATATACACTTTGCAATGATCATGAATGCGATGCCCCTTGTATGGGCACTCTCAATTTGTTTATGAATTCCACACATGGACTTGTTTTTGAGTTTGGAGCGAACATTTGTGTATGAAATTTTGGTGATGCCACTCTATTAGACTTTAAGCGACAGACAAGCTAGGGTGACTTGATGAAGAGCACTTTTGAGTGACAGACACGCTATAGTGACCTGATAAAGAGCGCTTTTGAGCGACAGACACGCTATGGTGACTAGATAAATAGCGCAAACTGAGACAAACACCAGGCACGACACAACAGAACTCACAACTGACCCAAAAGTAGAAAAAGACTCAAGGTAACTAATCATTCATAGTGCCCCTAGTATTACTTATATTCCCTTTAGAACTCAATTTCGAATCCTTTTTTTTTTTTTTTTTGCTCAAGTTAGAGATTCTACTAATAAGTTCAAGTATTGAAAATTTCTCCACTTATTGATTCAAACTAGTTCTTCCTTACCCAACACAAGTATGATATGCGCAGCAGTTGGTGTAGTTCATGGATTGATGTGAAGCTAACAATGTGAATTGGGTACGGTGATCGGGGTTGAGATGAATAAGATGGATATGGTTGAGACCAAACTTCAGGATGAAGTTGTCTACGTATCCCAAGAATGGAAATCAGGTCAACGTAGTTCATGGCTAAGGTTCACTCGAGTTTTGACACTCTCATTTTGTGCTCTACCTTTTACCAAAGTCGCCCCTTTGGGGTTTTCAACCTTGCGAGCTTTATTTGTTTGATTTTTCATTTTTCATGCTCTAACTTTTGCCTAAGTCGCCGTTTCGGATTTTCGGCCTAGCGAGCCTCTCAAGGATAGCGTTACAACATTTGTGGTGAATTTGATCAATAGTCATCCTTTCCCTAAACACTGGAATTGGCTTCACCTTGATTTGAGCTTGGTTCTCCACTCCTTATGCATGTCTTCTTCTTTTCTTTTGCTCAATTTTGAAAGTTAGTTCTTCTCGTAATGTGGTACTTCCTCGCATTGGCCTTCCCGAATTCAGACAAAAGTTCTTTTCCTCACAATTACTCAGATTTCATTCCAATGAATACCCTGACTTGATGGTTGATTTCTCTTCCATTTTCTTCTTCTTTTTTTTTCCTTTTTCTTTATTTTCTTTTCTTTTCTTTTCTTTGGTTTCTTTTATCCATTAATGAAAACACCAAGGGGAGAAATTCTATGATTGTGAGGTCTGAAAGTCGTCTTGTGCTTGCCAAAATGATCACCTAACGGTGAAGAAAATTCCTAGGACAATGTAGAACACCACGCACAATTCTGAACTTAGCTTCGCAAGTTGCAGAAGAAATAGCTTTAAACTTTTTGAAATCATGAAGGACTTTGCACCGATAAGTCAGAATCCACTCAAACCATTTGGGGGATCCTTCTCAACACTCGAGCTTATTAACAGAATCTCATTCAAAAAAACAAATTCAAAGCTTTTTCTATTTTTTAAAAGGTGACACAAGCATTACTGTAGGCACAACAAAATGATCAAAACTTTACTCCTGCTTTCTTATTTAGAAAAAGGAAAACTTGAGGGTACACGAGAGCGACTCAAAGAAAGAGACTCAACTGACGCAACGACACAAGAAAAGACAAAAAAAAATAAAACTGATAACTCGATACGCAACTCAATTGTTTACAGGACATGATTTAAAACAAAATCAGTTCTTGCGAGACAAAAGAGGTTTTCACTCTCCAAGTCCATGGGCCAAATTCACAAAAAAAACTTCAAGTAGCCCACAGGAGGTTTCAGACCTACCTTCAATTTAGCAATACTAATTTCCACACCCAGTTGCATTGATTTCAGACTTTCAAAGTGAGTCTCACAGATTGAGCCACACAATTACTCTAGTTGTCCCTACACATCTTTTTGACCATGCTAGCTAAGGTCAAGGTTGATTATTGGCAAGCCATGGATGGGATTTATGTTATGGAGTGGCAATCTATTGCAATCAGGGAGAAGGTTATTGACAACTTTGGGATTTTCAGGTGGAGTGATGACCTTATTGTCAATCAAGTCTTGGATTTCATGGCGAAGGCGAAAGCAACGGTCAGTATGGTGACCGTACTGCTGAT